GCAGTGGCCTAGACCACTGCCTAGACGCATGTGTCTGTCATAGCCGATTGGCTCCATATGGACGTTAAACTTGATTAAATAAATAAATAAATAGCAGTCGACCATGTTCCTGTTCGACAGGAGAACATATTACTGCGAAAGGAACTATAACTATAAAAGGACATCAATATAGGTATATATTTCTTTCCGCTGGTAATTCAGAAGCATCCTATACTGATGGCGCCGAACTGTTGAGGATGACTCCGATAAACCCTAACAATAGATGAATGATGATTATTACTATGGACTGAGCACGAATTTCACTAATCCATGTGCTGTGACCACATCCAATTTATTTTGAATCCTTATTTGTCTTAGGATTTGAATGTCTACAGATGTCAATCCAAATTTGGACAGGGTCCGGTAAGCAGGGTCCGGCGATGGTGGCTGGCTGCATAGTATATATGCATGCTGCCATGTCACCAACACTCCATTCTCGCCATAGGTGTTCTCTCCATAATACAAATCTTTCTAAAGTCAATTTACTACTACTGTTCTCTGTACCTCTGGTCTGCAGTGGTGCCTCCCCTTTCCAATCAGCAGGGTCATCCGACAGAATTGCCAGGTGGGTTTGCAGATTATAGTACGACGACGGCCATGCATCACGTAAAGATGTTCGTTCAATCTGCTCGAGCCTACCTTGCTGTAGGCGCAGAATTCAAGAAGATGCCGCCATTCATGGGATACTGTGCCTATATTGCCGGCCCTATCCAGGCCCATACGTCTTGCTTTCGCAACTGTCCAGGAGAGTCACTCTCATGGGCCCAAGGTATGCTATGCTTTTTGATATTAGAGGAAATGAAAACACATTGGCCCATGTTGAACTCAATGGTACGTCCATCATCTCCCACACGTGAGAACCTCTAAAAGCTCATTTTCGTGGAATATTGGGGTAAATTCGAGCAAATGTTGATGTATCATTCCACTACTAGTACAACAACTTGAAGACTTGCATATCCAGGGCCGACAATGGCTTATCACTTCTGCCGCGGACGGCATTGCTCCGTTCTGTCACGGCTCAATGTGATCTTGGTGTTGAATGGCCGGAACCGATCTCATTTGAAGAAGTATTCATCAAATTGGATGATTCTGGATGTAGCAAATTCCTCAACAGAACCTATATCGACTTCATATGGGACACGCATGAAAGGCTGGCGAACAGGGAAGATAATAATAGACATATACATCACGGCCGTGGGGTCCATCTTGTGGGAGAAGAAGCAGTGGCCCAATGCGGTTGGGGAACGGATGACGTTGTCCGGGATGTAGAGCCTTCAAAGCAGGGATTCTCGAATGATCATCTCTTTAACTTTGATGAGATTCTCCCTCGTTGCTCCATGGACGCCATCAGTGGTGTATCCGCCGAGTTCATTACGGACGATCCTTTGGATGGCCAAAATCTGGAGGTGTTTAGTATTGAACGAGCCTAGATGATTGATACGATGAGGAAAAATGAATGTTAGTCTATTATATCCAAGCCTCGAGTTTAAATAGTCTGTAGCTATATATCATATTCTTGAGCAGGGAAGTTCCGACCTTAAACTATAATACAGGCTGTTCTGCTCTGAAAACGCCCTAAATAGATATCACTAAACCCTAAATATTCCTAAAATGCTATGGTCTACCCCGAACGCATCATTATTGGTCTTGTTGTATGTAGGGTTGCTTACTGCGCTATGAAGATACCAGAAAGGAGAGTTTACGATAGCTTCTTGGGAAATACTACCGGAGCATCATCCAATTATCAATACTGCTAAATAATCAAGACTGTTAAAGATAAGGTAAGCCATTTCGCAACCGCGTACAGACAACCCCCTGGTGACGTGTTGGATTCAATCACCTTCAAGAGATAGCTAGTTGAATAGCTGTCCACACCATTACCCAAAATTCTAAGCTCTTTCTTGCTTTTCTCTTTTTTCTTTTTTTTTTTTTTTTTACAGGAGGAATTCACGTTCGCTCCACATATAGCTAGCAAGCCTAAAATCAGCGGAGGCTGGAGATTGTTGACTCCGAGGGACATACTTAGGTGAATACAAGGTTATACGGAGCTCAGTATCAGCAGGGCAGGTCACTGGGCTTGTCGGAGGTTGCCCAGAACACCAGGTCAAAGATCCACATCCATCTGGTGAAACATTGACACATCCAGGGAAATTACCCCCAATCGGATTGATGACATAGTTAAACGTGCCTTGATCACCGGAAACATAGCTCACTTCTACCTCTCCGTTAAATTTCACGTCCGCGACTGGTGCACCTGGAACCGATTGCTGCCCCCCAGGTGCAACAGTGTACTGATATCCCTGTGGTTCTACATCCACGTGCACATTGGCTGGGACATAGTTGTTGATGCTGATGGTACCAGCATTAGCCGGATGGATTCGATGAGGGATATATTGTCGCCAGAAGTAGGCTGGATTTCCCAAGGCAGGGGCGACGATGGCCGCGATTGAGAGCACTGAATACTTCATGTTATCACTTCGTGTGAAACAAATAATATAGATCAAGATTCATGAGGCGAGGATGGTCCTCAAGAGTTTAGCCATTACGAAATCTCGATCCAACCTCCTCTATTTATATCTTTTCATCTATGCGCAAGGATTCTCCAGGTGGTCAGTATGACCTCGACGAAACACAGTCATGATGTAATGTCTTATGTTTTTGTCTATCAGTAACTTCCCTATTTAGTAAACATGTCAGCACTTTTATAGATATAGGAAATAAGTCTGTGCCAGATGCTAAGCTTATTCAGTTCCATGGTTGAGTACACCTAATCTGTTATAGACTTTCAAGTCATTCTCCCGGAAGCCTCGGAAGAAGAGTCAATTCACTGCAAACGGCTGTCGACCATCTACGCGAAGCGTCATGTACGACGGATAAAGAAAGAGTCCATGTATTGTATGGAGATTGCTGCCTGTCATACGACTTGATGCTAAGCCGCAATCGGTAGACTGGCTCGGATACTAATAAAAAGTTTCATTTTATATGGAAGACAGAGATGGCCAAGCCTGGGATTGCACTAAAGGTATTCGGGAACCAAGAGTTAGTTTAGCCAGAACTAAGACCGAGTTTAACAATAGGCTTCCGGAGCACTTTTCTACCAATCTGTCCATGGCTTGCTTAGTCTACGACCACCGTGGGTTTGGTGACAGCGATAACCAAGCATCGCAGCCCCGACAGGAGATAATTCCGGCCCACCAGATCAGCGACTATTCAGACGCGATCACATATCCAGACTGAATTGGAATTTGGGGAAGTTCCTACAGTGGTGTGGCCATGTTAGGAACGCTCACAATTTCGTTCTCATCCAAAATCAAGCAGCAATTCCTCACGCTTTCCAATGCTTTCACCTCATTATACTCAAAAAGGTTTCAATTGCGTTCATAACATTGAGGGCTAGAGTCCCTCAAAAACAAATTCAACAGTAGGTATCTGAAATATTAGCATCATCGGGCTGAATCGAGTTTTTGTCCGATGATGGTTCGGTCCGAACCAGTGGCGAACTCTCTACGGAGCTGTCTATTGAGTCTCCACAACGGTTCTAGTAAGATGTCTTCCAGGACTCAAATTGATGATCGAACACAGACTGACTAGTTTTCAGTATCTACAATTCCTCCCGATGCAATATCCTCGCGCTTAAACCCTTCCGTTCCCAGTATACGATCGTTAACCAATACTGGCTTGGCCGCTGAGAGGTCCTCACATCAGTATATTTCATTTAGGCGGAAGTATAATGATGCATAACGTACCGGTCAGTACAAAAAACACTCGTGCCGGTGCATCCGAGTAGTTTGTCCACCCGTGCACGGTTCCCCTCTGGACACAGACATCTCCAGGTTTCATGTCAATGCGCTCGTCACCGTCAAGGTGGCTATGGAGTATTCCTAAGGATTAGCAATGATACTAAGCTACGATGGAGAAACGAACCAAGTGATTTCTCCTGCATGCAAGATACCAAAATCGAGAGATTCGGTCCGATGAAACATCTGTGATTGGGGTTAACACGTCTCCGTCTACACCATTTGTAGATCCTACCGTTTTTGTACGGGGTGGAAAGTCCACCACACGCAATACAACCCCTTTCTTGTTGGCTAAGTCCGGAGTACGGGTCTTGGTTGGGTCAATCCATTTGTCATTCACTTCAGGAAATTGGTGAGTCTCGTAGAGAACGGCGAAGTTGCAGTTGACTTTGGTAGGCTCGCAGGGAATCAAACTGTCGGCTACGACAATCGCTTTGCCATCATCGTCGTGGCCCGTGACAATCCGTCGCGGGTGTGGAAAAAGGTTCTCCATGTCAACTAGATTGTTTGCTCACATAAAATGATATACATCTAGAGATCACAATCGAATGGTTGGTTTATATAACTGATACATGCATGTTGATAGTCCGGATGATCGGATTCGGATTCGGATTCGGAGTATTTCATATTCCTCGAATGGTGCGGTCGTTCGGGCTCAACTTTACCACCATAAGATCGCCAAACCAGCTTTACTGGCAAAGACAATCGGGTGTTGATGTCTAAATGACGACGGTCCTTGTCGAAATTTTGACAACGTCGTATTTTCGAGCCGATCCCACGCAAGCTGCCTTTGAGTATGAAGCACTGGGCCTCCATATTCGCTCCCAGGAACGACTAGTGCTGGGACAATGATTAATGTGCAAAATTCATCTACCGAGGTTTTGTCAAGACGTGTTTCTTTCATCCACCCTTGATAAGTAAAGATATTCTTTCAAGGCATTATTCACACGTCGGCCAGTCTTTTCAGCGAGGACGTAAAACATAATTAATTAAACACCCTCCAGCCTTGCTGAAACAGGGCTAAGGGCTCGAACCCTGAGTGTTCTTCAAGACATACGTCTCCAATAGACAAGTTATACCATGTATTATCTAGGGACACATCGCGTTGCTCCATCAGTAAGTCTTCAGGATCGACTGAGTCGGCTTCCCCGACACCAGAGCAATTTTGCGTAAGAGCGAGAGAGCTCCGTGAGTCAGCACGAGGATTATTTGCCTGGTAAATCGAATGGTTCATGGTGCCCAGATGTGGCGCGAGTGTAGGGGGGCCATCACTTTCCCGGGCCGAAAGGCCAAGGGGTGTGGCCTCGTTGCAAGCCTGCATACGATCTATTCCATACATTCTGTTTCGCTCAGTACTCGACTCTTGTGATGCGAAAGGAAAGAGTTGTCGATCCAGCGCAGAAGAAAGTTGTTCTGACTTGATTTCCAACGTAAATGTCAGCGCGAACTAGATTTTCTATAGAGACCGTAGCATCAACTCACGAGATGACCCAAAGGTCTCCAATGACGGCACAGGGCGTTCAGGAGGCGTGAAATGGCCCGTACGGCACGTAATTTGCGACCTTCAGTCCGTCTTTCAGTAATACTTTCCTGCAATCTTTTATCTTGGCAGGAGGTCTCTGTGGCCAGCAGCACTATTCCTGTTATAAAGGCCCCATAACCCATGAGCGGAGGCAGGACTGTGATATCACCATTTCCATACAGAAAAGGATTCAGTAGCTTTTCATGCAATCCGGCATGGCGTATAACACTTTCAGCACTCCGTTTCACACTTTCCAGATCTATCTCTGGCCCTGTAGAAGCACCTGAGAACAAGGGGACAAGCATTGAGTGTAGAATAATTTGACACTGATGAAAAAGAGATTCAGCAAGTAGTTTCATAGAGTGGGACGCATATTCTGTGTCGTTGACGGTAATTGGATCGTTGACGGTATTTGCACTATTGCAAATTGACGTTGCCAAATCTGAGAGACTGTAGACAGACTTAATGTTAAGAGAGGGAGAAGAGGCATTCCAATCCTTAACCAGGAGCTGAACCTTTGCCCTGAAATATCCAAAAACATTAGACAAAGAGCTGATTGCAGATTGCACACAAGATTTCCATACCAGACTCCCATTATTTTCACAAGAAACGCCGCTGCAGGGGTGGTGGCATGGTGCCTCTTGTTAAGTTCAAGAGGTCTCGACTCCCAATTCTGATTCATTTTTTCCGTCAGAATAATGTCATAGTGTGATCCGCAGTCTTGAATGTACGCGGGAAGAGGGACCATGGCCACTTCTTTCCATGCGGCTCTTATGCAAGATTCCGGCTCCATGCCGATGCATGTGGAGATCCAGCAAGCCCAAAGACACCGACGATTAAACTCAGACTCTAACGATAGATCCGAATCATTGCAGCCATCGATTATCCTTCGGTTGTATCCAAGGAGGTGGCACGAACGATAGGCGAGAGCTATAAACCCCGCAATGGAGGTTTCCAATCAGCAAGACTGCAACCACATGCCCCAATAGATGGAAAGGCGCTTACAAAGACACAGACTGCAAGACTGTAGATTTCCAATGCCAAACCAATACAGCTGCAGACATTCAAGTGCCTGGGTTGTCACCAAGGAAGGCTGTTCGATCGCAGATGGCGTGGCTTCCCTCACCGCAGACTTTGCCCAGCCAAGACCACAAGAGCCATAGTGTTGTAGCACATCTAACTCAGAAGCATTCACGGAGGCCACATCTTTGTGCTGACGTTCGGGAGAAAGAAAACTGTAATCATTGATTGGCGCAGAACTTTGATTTTATGGAACGACATACAGCGTAGCTAACGCAAACATGGCCTTCACAAGAATATTAGGAAGACTCCCCTTAAGATATTCGTGGAAGACTGCTCGTTTCTGAAATAACAAAGACGCATTATAGACCCGTGAAAAGTATATCTCAAGTAAACCCAAGCCAAGGGCGCGAGGCGGCAAGGGTGGGTCATCTGAGGAGGAAGATATACCATGGCGAGTTGACCCCGTCTGCCCTACGCCTTCATTGGATCGAGGTAATGGGTGAATCAACTCACGTTCGTTCACAATATAGGGAGTCCGAGTCCCGGTGTGTCTTTCGGGAAGTGCTGGGGCTACTCTACTAGAACTGGTAGCTCTCTCGTCCTCTCGTGAGCCCTCATCTGGGGAGAGTACCGCACCGTCAGGAAGTATTGTTGGGTGAACAATGCGGTCTGACGGGTTTGGAGCTGGGGCACACCTAGTGGGTTCATAAGCCAGGTTCAGTGTGTCCGTTTGTGGCTCCGGAAGGTCCAGGCAACGTTGGTCAACTGCTGTGCGTGTTTCCCGGCAAGTACGCTGCGACTTTCGACCTCGGCGTTTCGAAGGGACAGGGTACACACAGGTCGCCCGGAGCCTTCGGCAGCGACTGCACAAGGGGCGTTCACGGCTGCATTTAAGCTGCTAGACTGATTAGCATGAGTAGCGAGAGGAAGAGCAGATTGCGTCACTTTTTGGTTACGACATCTCTGACACGCGACAATAGAGCGTTGTACAGCATCACTCAATTGACACGGTTCATTTACGGAAACCTGACCATGCTCTTCTCTTAGCTGAGTATCCATAGATTCGAGTGTGTAGTCGTTGATACGGATGACCGAAACGGCTCGCCGCAGAGAGCGAAGGCAGAACAGGCTCTTACCGTACTTGATCACCTGACGCACGTCCCCACCTGCCGCACGAATTTCTGTATGGCAACCAACATTAAAAATGAAGCTTTAAAGCAACATACT